AAAGTGCCGACAGTTTTGCTGACGTCACATTGCGCGAGAACTTCGAGAGTTTCGCAAAGTTCGAGAGTTTTAGAACTCTCGAAAAACGGCCGAAACTCCCGACCGAAACTCTCGAAGTTTCATCACTGCTAGCTTCGTGGCTCCAGAGTCCAAACACTCACTGTGCAGAAAAGGTTTCTTCAGAAGCTTGATGACATTGTGGTGGGTGACATCACGTCATTCTTGATATAGCTTCTATCGCTCTGCTGGCTTGAAAAGACTAATTTTAAGGGGCAGCGTCCAGCTTTGGGGTCCTGAGAGGTTGACTTATTCGGCGTGATCGTATACAATTGGCAGCCGCTTCTGTGATAGTCCATTGAGGATGGCCTTGAGGATTGCTTTCACAACCTTGCGCAGGGTTACAAGGAAGCTTCCAGCATTCCTGGAAAGACTGGAGGGTTACACTGCTGGGACCACATTTGACCCCAGCCATTCAGGTGACCCAATCAGCTGCGATTGCCTGATGCCTTTGATTTCCCATTGTGCGGTGATTGACAGAAGCATATGGGGTGGGCCTCCTTTTGGTGCAAGATAGCTAGTGGCAGCTGGCACAAGGAAATGTTATTTAATAGTGTCAATTCTGAACAATGGACAAAGAAAGACTCCAGCACGTCCAGCTGGGCAGCCCGGTCTCTTGCAAGGGTTGTCGCAAAATTACATCGAGCTAAATATTGGCAGAATATAGGTTGTTGTGGTCAGTGTGACACGCAATCTGCTGCCTACTGCAATGACCACTCCCAGCTCTCTCCAGGAGGGCGTCCAACTGTTCCTTTGCTCCTAATAACTGCGTACCCACCAATTTGTTGGCCTGCTGGATTCCCTTGCCTGATGGCTAACCTTTCCCCATCTCTTTGCAGCCCCCCACTGCTCAACTTGGCAGCGCCAAACCCCCTGTCGCTGGTTTCAGTTGTCCGCCCCCGCCCCTTACAATCTCGCTACCCATGTCCCCCAGCCAAAGAGCAAGTCAATCCTTAAACCTTCCAGGCCTAGAAAGCCTCCGGAGTTTGACATGCGGGCATACCTGGCAGAAGGGGGCGCAAAGAAACCCTGGTATCAGATGATGGTTGAGCTGGCGGTCGCGGAGGACCAGGGGTTCTTCCTACATCCGGCCGACATCAACCGCCTGGTGGTGCACCACTTTGCCCTTCTGTTATTTTTTCGCATGCCCCCTTTCTGTTTTCGAATTCCCGTTCTAATCTCTGCTCTGGAAATTCTCTTTTTACCCTAGCTTTCGAGGCAGCTACTAGACCATTGGTACACCATTAGAGAACCGTTAAGGTGTTGACTTTACTTTGCATTGGCTGCTGGCTCGACCTGTCTCTGCAGTAATCAGCCGGGGCCCCAGGGGAGTTGACTCGTTCGTTATACTTGCCTTTTGTGCTGTGAGTGTGTTCGTCGTAAGACACAGGGAATCCCTTGGACTGAGAACAACAGCTGTATCTCCTGAAACAGCGTTCACAATTCCCAGGTTTGGTGTCCCTCTCCCCGGTCTCTAGCAATCTCCCCAGCATTGCCTCAAACCCTCCTAATCTCCGCTGATCACCACTTGCATCAAGTGCCATCTTTTGTAACGTGTTTCCCTCTACTTTGCTTCTGCAGCGAAGGTGTGCAATGGAGGACAATCACGAGGCCGCTCTTGAAACCTACGTCAACTACCAGGACGCCAAGTTTTGGCCCGGCCGCTTTCTACCGTCGAGGCAAAGGACCGACATCGCGCTCCGGGCTACAAACATTTTGTTGGGACTCTTCTATCACAATCGGAAGCAGTAAGTCATGGCAATCTGACTCCCAGACTTACTACCGGCTGGAGGGTACTTGAGAAGCTTATACAGCTGTCTGCTGCTTACTGGACGTGACCATTTTGAAAGAGCTTGTTTGACTCGCGTCCATTAAATCTGTGTGTGGCAATACCCTTGATTGTGAGCTTGCGCCCGTTGCGGTTTGACAAGCCTTCATGTACGCCAGTGAGAAGCTGGAGGGTCTGCAGGCGCTAGCGAGAAAGATAACGATTTCCTTATCGAAGGACTGACGACACGGCTTCTTTATCAGTGACTCCTCTTGACACGACTGCACCGGCTCAACCACGTGCTTCTCGACTCGGTTTAGCAATCTGTTTGTTTCTCCAGGTTTTTGAGCTTAGCGATCTGTTTGTCTCTCAAAGTTTCTGAAGGCATCCTTTCAGCAAACTTGCAATCTTCTGGAGATTACCGTGAATTTCTTTGAGATTCTCTCATCCGAAAGTTGATCTCAAATGTCGCAGAGTTGATTGCTGTCTGGTACTCCCACAGGCGATAATTCTCCACAATACTTCTAAGGAACTCTTTCACAAGAACGAAGTTAACAGTGACAACGTACACCCGTACATTTCTCTGCTCTGCAACCATGCCCACCCTAAACACCCACCCTATACCACTTGTTATGGTCTCACAATGTGAGCTCATCGTAAGTAAAATAGAGACCAATGTACAGGCGGGCATTGGACCTCGTTGCGGAGCTGAGTGAGGACGTGGGCAGCCGGCACACCCTCTTTGACCTGGTGAGCCAGACCTTCTCTGTGCGTGTTACGGCTTTTGCTCATGATTCGAGTGACTCTTACTGGCTTCGACTCTATGGGGATTGTTTGGTATCACAAAAGTAAATGAATTTGTTCCTGGCTTGCTCGTAGAGTCGGGTCGTTGGAAGTCATTACGCGGAGTTTGCAGTTCCGATTGCAGTCGCTTTTATTCGACCCCGTTCGTCAGTAGCACATTCCTGCCGCTCCACCTGTCACGTGAATCGGGTTTGGTCACAGTAAGCCGGGTATTAGGACGCTCATTTAAACGTAAATCGAATTCCTGTAAGAGTGGAGACTCAGATATTACAATGCAATTCCATTTGTGTCTCCCCTCCACTAGGGAGGCGGTCTGAACGGAGTCTTTACAGGCTTTCTGTTGACTCCCGCCCTGACTCTGTTGGGCGGGACGTAGATTCTAGGCCCTCTTTAACATATATTAAATCTCTCCTCGGAGAAGCAACTGGTCTCTTAATCTGCCTGAAAAGTAGTGCACGCTCCTCACATCTCTGCCGTTATCTTCAAAGAAGCCGACGTTTCATCCCGCCTCCTCAAACCCCGGACGCCCTGCCCCTCGCCACTAGTTGCCAATCCAGAGCGCCCTGCTCGACTTCAGCGGTCGGTGCTATCGGCCGGGCCCTTTCAACATCAAACTCTGAGTCTCCTTCCTATTCCTGTTCGATTGCGGCCCCGATCGTTACCAGAAGCTTGTCCGCTGCCTTTCGTTGGCCAGGAGGTTTCCCTGCCACTCTTACACTACTGCTACTTTTCCATCACCTCCTTTGTACTCTCCTACGACGCCCCAGTACTCCAAAACTCTCTGCCTTTAAGCGGCCGGGAGGCTGCCCCGGACACTCCTCGACTCAGGCCTCTCCTCTTTCTCGCGCCCCTCGTTGCCAATGTGAAAGTGCGCCCGACATCTGTGAGCGGTCGGTAGTCTCTCCCGGGCCCTCTTCCTGGTACAGTAATAGGAGCTTGTGGCAGCTGACCAATATGGTCGTCTTTCGCCTCTTTAGAAGCTGGTTCAGCATCTAAACAACCATACTCAAGCAGCTCCAACTTTGCTGCCCGGTTGCGCCTCTGATAATCTGGGCTAAGCAGTTGGGTAGTAGCCACACCATGTTCTGATTCCTCTCTATCGCCCCCCTAGTTACTCCTCCAATGCGCTCGAAATGGCGACGAGTCCGAAGACCAGCGCGGCGACGGGGTCCGGCAGCTCACGGTTAGGGACGGCTTAAGCATCGTCGACAGCATGGTTAGCATCGGGTTACGGCCGACCCGGATCGGAATGGAGGCGCTGATCGACTGCTGCGATGCAGCGCTGGACGCGAAAATGGCGGAGGAGATTGTGCGGCGGATGGAGAAAGAGTACGGGCTGCCGCCGACGATTATAACGCTCGTCAGGTGAGGGGCCGAACTAGAATCGGAACGGTCTTCTGAGTAGGGACGTTGTGAGATGGTTGGTCGTTATGACCTGCGTTCAGCAGAGGCCTGCAAGCTTGCAGCCTTCTGTAGTTGCGTCCTGTTTGATGATGAAGACCTGTTTGCGCAAGCGCCTTCAAAAAAGCGAAGCCGTTGAGAAGACGACGCTTCTGTAGGCGACGACTTTGTCGAGCAACGCGTCCTGTTTTTTTGAAATGTCGCATCTGGTCGTTGAAGCTGTGCATGAAAGGAAACCTTCCCCTTTCATTGCGCAACAAAATGTCAGACTCGACAAAGTCCAATGTCAGACGTGCCCGACTCTTTCCTGGAGAAAATGAAAAAAGAATCAGGTTGCACGCTTTCAGACCAGTTTAGTCCACCATTTCAACTTTTGCCTGTCGAGCTCGTGACCCCGTCCGCTCTGAAAAGGACGTCTGCGAACTGGATCTGCGGCAGGACTCGACTTCATGATCACAAAGAGCAATCAGGTGACTGCAACACCTGTTATCAAGTCACCGCCGGCAGACTGGTCCTCAGCGCTGCCTTTCGCGACTGATCGACCTCAGAAGACTATTTTCTCGATCTCAGTTGCCTCTTTTTTCGCAGGCTGCTGCGAGCCTGTGTGAACGCCGAGGACGAAGACCGGGCGCTCCGAGTGCTCAACAGACTCCCCCGGGAGGACGTAAAAACCGTGGACATGCAGCTGTTCGTCATGCAGACGCTTCAGCTGCAGTACGAACAGGCGGCCGAGAGCCGGGAGGCCGCCGAGGCGCCCGGGAGTATGCCCCAGCTGCGTATGAAGTTAGACGAGCTTCTGCACGAAGTGCCTGTCAGCAGTAGACATCACGTTCAGTGCAGTAATCTGAGGTAATGTTTTCGGTGAAGACAAACTGGCGGGGGCAGCGACTTTGATCAGCCTTGCCCTTCACTCTGTACATTCAAGATCGGCACAACTCTTCTCTGACTCCGTGCAACCTCAACGCTTTGCAGTTTCTGAGAGGTGGGAGCCTTAGATCCGCATTCGAAACATGATGGGTCATGGCTCTTGAATGATAGACTACCAAGCCTGCGTTAAGGTCATCCATGAACCCGTTTGCAAGACTATCCGTGACCATGACATGATTCAGTTGGTCGACTCCGAAGAAGCTGTCACTGAGGTAAAAGCACGCCAACTACATGTAACTACATGCAAGCCGTGATTACGCATCGCATGCAATTGTTGCTTTAAGTGACATGATCCATCGGCCAGAGGATCGAACGCGGAGATGGCTACACAAGATGCATGCAGTTGTTCATAGCATGCATGCACTTCTACAATGATTTGCGGGTGCGCGGCGAGCATGCTTCTCTCATGCAGTTGCAAAGCATGCAGGCGTCATTGAAAATGATTTCTATCTCGAGCCACCGACACCGTGCCCGCCTGCCGGCAGATGAGATGCAGAACAGTGATACTCGGAAATCAAGCTGTTGCAAACCGGCATGCGCAATACATATACACAGCCTGATATTGCAAGTCCAGTGCGTTCCGCTGCCAATCCTGAAATCAAACAGCTTTTCTGACGAGCTTGACCACGATCACGGCCGTATGAACGTGATCACTCGATGCAAAGCTGTCTACTCAAGTCGCTGTTCGCGCAGCCTCGCAACAGAGTGATAAGCTGGATTTGATACCCAGCGCTTCGAGGATATGCCGCAGCCGGCCCCATGCCTATTCGAACCGGGGGCTGACTCCATGCCCATTCCGAATGGGAGCTAATAATTGGCCAGCTGGTTCCCCCACCACAGGGCTTCCCCGCTGGGTCCCCCGGGTCCCCCGGCTCCCCCTTAATTCTCCCCTCCCCCGCTGGTTCCCCCGGCGTCCCCCCCCGGGCTAGCCCCCATGAGAAAGTGCCCCAGCTCTTGGGTATCGTCTTATTCAAAATCCAGTCCTCCGTGGTCAAACACACTGGCTTCCCACGGGTCCAGCTCAGAACCCCCATCGCCGTCAAGCTGGGCCACTGCAGTGTTCAGATCCAGGAGCGGCCGGTGAAAAGCATCAAGCACACCCAGCGCTATTCTATAAACGCGGGCCTTAGCATCCCTGTTGCAGTCAGCCGGCTTGTAACCTTCCAACAGGTCGGCCGTGTTGTCCAGCTTGTCAGACTTGTCTCTGCAGTCCCAGAGGAGGTCTACAATCTGATCCTCCGTTTCTCGTGAATCGTTCTTACAAATCACCTGCAGGTTGAGAAATCTGATTAGATCTGCATTCCAAAATCGACGAGAACATCTTACACCATTGCCCAACAAATCGCTGCCGCTACAGCTTAGATGGTGCCAGATCTACGAGAACACATTGAAACAGATCTGGTAAACTTGCAGCAAATGCCCTCCTCGTTGGACATATGTTGTAATTACAATGATAACCAATCTATCCTGATAGAGCTCAACACACTGAAGACAAAAAAACCAAAGAACGCCATTACCCAAATGTTCTTTCCGATTGCGAATCTGGATGAGTCTGAATGTGAGTCAGCTCCCTCTCTCCGATCAATCCAGCTGGAACAACTTGTCCTTGCAACCCCAAATGGGGCGCCCTTGACATGGAACTGACAAATGATGCAGGGTGAAACACGAATGTAATACCTTTGCGAAGTCCCTGCTCAGAAGAATGCGCTGCAGTTCTTTGTTGGCCCCGCCAGGTCCCCTCTCGCCAAAGCGATTGAAGTGTTTGAGAATGACGTCTTTGGGGTCGTCGGAAACTCGCCGCTCCAAAGCCCTCCGGACCGCCTTCTCAACAATGTGCCTATCCACTTGAGGGTAGAGGGTTAACAGCGGACTTGGAGGCCTTATAGCACACTCTGCCCCGCTCGAAAGCATCCTGGGGAGCCCTGGCTGCAGCACACTGCTGACACCTGCAAAGGCAGTAACATATCGTTTGTTGAGAAATCAAAGGTCCAAGTTCCAACCTTTATTAAGCCCCAAATCCATAAACCTGGTGGAGAAATGTTCCAGCCCATGCTTTGCTGCCTATCCAACTACCGATGCCCCTGCCCTTGGAAAGCAAACCAGATTCCGACTTAAGCTTGAGCGGAGGCATCCGCTCTTTGGGCAGCACTTTCACAACACTGAAATCTATCGAAAGGCCCTGAGGGATCCCTTCGCCGCCCTGCTCATAAACATATAAGCCTGAGGTGAAGGATGGCAAAGGGCTATTGGGGCCCTTTCTTACGAAGCAACTCATCTTCGTAAGAAAGCCCTGAACTGGGCTCACTTTCAGCAGGCGGACTCCTGCCCAGATTTCGGCCTCCTGCCTCAAGCTCCATGCCACCATTCTCCAATCTGGACTCCACCTCCATAGCCTCCTCCTCCGATCTCCTCCTCTTCTGGGAAGGGCCACCCAACCCTGCAAAAGTCGGAGCTTCCAACTGCGCACAGGAGATACATTAGACATATATAAGGGTGCCATCATATAATACATAATTGAGGCAAGGAAGTCGGAGCTGGGCCATGTATTCGCATGCATGTGTCTTGTTGGCCTTGACCCAAATTGCTTCACAGCAAGTCGTTTGCCAAGGCAAGTGTCAGCGCGTTATGCAGCAACTGCAGGTTCACATCCATAGTGCAAAAGCAGCGATATTTAATGTTCAAACCCTGCACAACAAGAACACGGAGCCAACTGCTCACCCTGAGGGCTACATCTGGTTGCTGTTGCGGGGCCTCCTGCTCACTGTCACGTTGCTCAGAGTTACTGGTAGCAACCTGAAAATATGGTTGCACTCGTCAGTAGCGAAACCTGCACCATTTTGACCGAGTCCCTTGAGCAGCTAACAGCAATGGTCCTTTTTCCTTGCATATGGCAAGCGGTCAACTGGCAAAAAGCAGGCTGCTAGTCACAACTAAGGGGTTCCTTGATCAGACATGCCGCATATGTTGTGCTCAAGCAGCCTTGAAGTACTCCCAATGCAAGGAAGTTCACTGAGGGGAGATCAGGAGGAGAGACTGGCAAACCAAATCATCTTTGTTTGGTTTTAGAGCGTTTCAAAGCAAGCACTGATAGAGCATTGGCATGCTGACCACGCCGGGTGTTGTCATGTTGACGTCGTTTGCTCCGTCTTCTGGTATCAAATTTGGTGCTTTATCCGGTGCCGACTGAAGGAGGTTCGACATGGTTGGATATGCAGAGCTGCCTCTTAAGTACCTAGCAACATTCCCCTCGGAAATGGAACAGCCTGAAAAGCAGAAACTGAATAGTCAGGCTGTCAAGAGAAGTCACTTCTCCATGTTCGCAAACCCTTGGGAGAACTTAAGTATGCCCTGCAATGTTCACAAATGACTAAGCCCTCTTAGAAGGCCAACAGAAAGATGTCAAACCTTAAGTGGCTAATCAACCCCTGGTATACGGCAAAGGGGCTTGGCGCACTTCCTAGAGAACTCCTTCGCACGATGCAATCACTTTTAAGGGGATTCAAGGCATTTATTGCTTTAAGAGCCTTTTGATCGCCAAAGGAAGAATGGCTTGCAAAGAAAAGCATCCAGACTGGACAAAAATCTGATACAAGAGGGTGCACTAACCAACGAGAAGTCAGCCATCTCCAAGATATCTCCTTTTCTCCGAGTAACCTACTGACAACTTTGCCGGGGCACTATTCGACCATCAAACCATACCTTCACTACGTACGGGAGCTCGTTCGCTGACACGTTCAGCGTGGCCCATCGCTGGCAATGCATTAACCCCTTGGCCAGCGACAATCGGGTTCTGTGTCAGTAGACCCGCGGCAAAGATTTGCAGGCCCTTTCCTGCATGTTGGTTGAATGAAAAAGTGTTGACAGGCTGGTCACTTCAACCGTTTGTGTCGAGTCAACAGATGCCACCTCTGAACGCATCTGGTCTCTATGCTAGCAAATTTCTCAGAATCCAGGTCACATAGAGGTCTTGCGATCAGAATCTTCATTCAAGACCTTAGTGTACTCCCTATTCCTGAGGAGCAAGTTTTCAATGTCTTCAGGGACTTCAACATTGTGATAGCAGCACTGCAAGAGGCATAGAGAAAAGGTCAAACCATTTGTCGTCAACTCACCGTCCCGTATAATCTCCTGCAGTGGGTACATTGGGGGACCGGCATTGCCCAGAATTGCCTCTTGCTCAAAAACAGACCGGATGAAGCGTACTCTCAGGACATTCCCTCGTTCCCCCAGCTTTTTGAAGGACTCTGGGTCATTCAAAGGCACCTTTTCTGGCCAGCTCAAATACTGCCTGATGTTGCATTGTTCCGAGCACTGCCAATTGCCTAGACACTCCTCTTTCAGGCCAAGGATGTGTTCGGCAATGTCTTCTCGAATCTTGACCTCCTTTTCCTCCAGAACTTCCCCACCCCCAGCACGCTGCAAAAGCCGCCAGAAGGCTACGGCCTCCAAACGATGCAGCCTGTCTGAGGGGCTCGCCAGATCAACCAGACCTAGCCTTCTCTTTGATGGATGTTGCATCTTCCAACCTTCATCCCAACGCAACAAGACTTGCAGGTCCACAAGCTGTGGCTCGGAGGCCGCAGCCATTGATAGGGGAGCTGATGCTAGGAGGAAAGCAACACTGAAAGCGGGAGGTGGGTCCCAAACTACAAAGCATTGGCCTGACACTGGCCACAACCGAATCGAGCCCAGAAAACGTCGACTAATATTGAATGCAGCTGGTACAATATTGGATCTGAAGACGCGTGAGGTCAGGCTTCTCAGACAGGCAGCAAGTCCCAGCGCCTGAGATTCAGATGAAAAAGTCTCAAGCACTAAAAGTATGTATCCTAATTAGAAAGTTGGAGATGGCAGACCGTGATATGTAAGTGGCAAACATGAGCAGAATTGGAGAACACTGTTGATGCTTTGAAGCAATGGTAGACTCGATTTCGAAGCTTTCTGAAGTTGAAGGACGAAGAAAGATATCGGAGCAAAAGGCGTGTTGAGGGTGGCACCAGCAGCCACAGTCCACTCGGGTCAGTGTATCTACTATCCTATCATGCACCCGGCAGCACACCCCATGGCCCGCCGCCCATGGCCCATACATGTATTTTCCGCCGTGGCCCGTGGGCGCAGTACGCCGCAGTTGCCTACCGGTATAGTACCGGTACTACATAAGTACGGTACCGTAGGTGCCTGTATGTGACGGTACTACCTACAAACAGTAATGCAAATACGGTATACCTAGGTACGTAGTAACGTACCTAGGTACCTACCGTACTGCCATTCCCATTCGCACCATGCTGGTGCGAATATTTATTTCCGAAAGTTTTTTGTTTTCGCACCGGCTTCAAATAATCTTCAAAATTTTCGCAAGAGACCCATTTTTCTTTTTTTTACCACTCGAAAAAGCCACAAATGTGACTTTTCTAATTGTTTTCTTATTTCGCATTTTCGCACCTCAGTCGCAATTTAGTTTATTCTTTTTCGCAGTGGCCTTAAATAATTATTTTAGTGCGAATGGGAATGGCTGTACGGTACCTGAGCTACCGTACCTACCTACCTACCTACCTACCTACCGTACCTACCTCAGATGTAGGTACCGTATATGCACTGAGGCAGCCGCCGTGACATGATTGAACACTTCAATGGAGCCTCGCCCACCGTCCGATGAGTTCGGAGGGACAAGTTCCAAGGGCGAATTATCAATCGCAAAAAATGGCAATGCAGTCGCTAATACCCGATTGCTGGTATTTGTTCGATATACCGTAGTGAAAAGGTATGAAGCCGAAAAAATAAATAATTGTTTACCATTCGGCAAGTTACATGACCTGTTTTTCATTCGGCAATTGGTTTTCGAATTTGATAAATAATTGCTCAATTGGGGTCGGATTTTCTTGATATTATTGCCGGGCAGCCTCATCAACGCACTTTTGGGGCAAAGAAGCCCTCGGGGAGAGCTACCGAGCACATTCGGATTCAGGGTCGGTCTCTTTAAATAAATCGGTAAAATAGGTCGTATTTGAGTAAATAATTACCATTTTGAACCATTCGGCATCATACCTTTCCACTACCGTAGTTCAAACTTCATAGTTTGTACGCGCGTACCTACTACCCATCCACGTGCCCAATCCGACTCGCGCGCGCAAAATCACCGATCGTACGCGGCGGTCGACCGTCGAGCGGCTGCCCGTGGCGGGTCAACCGGGCACTATTTTGTTGCGCGGAAGCTGTACTATTAGTGGCCGGGGCAGGCGAAAGTTTGAACAACTTTGAGAACTTGAATCTCAACTCGGATTGGTCAGAACTCCGAACTTGGAAATTGTGACACTATCGAGTCAAACATGAACTTCTCCGCAACAACTCTCGTTGATTTCGGCAACGGTCTGTGGAGGCGGAAACGGGAGAGGACGTACAGGTGCAATACAAGGCAATGCCACGCCTGACGGCGCTTGATGGCATTGCCAAAAGCTGTTCGTGCGATTCGGCAGCTCGAGCTTGGAACGGCTGGCCGCTGCCACGTGGTTGCTGCACTTCCGACTGTGTGGACATCCGATCGGCGATAACAATTCGTGACTCGGAGTCTGCTGTACGTAGAGTGAGGTCTCCACAGTCCAGGCCACAGAGGCCAGGGTTTCCCATTTTCGGCAGCCAGTCATTGAGCCGGCACTCGGTGGTTTCTACCGGCCAGAACTTCCTCACGGCCTTCAAGGCGGCGGCGGCGGCGGCGGCCTTCAAGTTGTGCCGGCCCGGTCCCCAAAAAAGCGCATGTATGATGTGATGGAACTCAAGCGATTTATGGCGCTCAGTGCTATTATTTTGGACAAAGATATGGCCGTTCTGGGCTGTTTGGAAATCGGCAGGGGAAAATGTCAAAATGACCAGTTTATAGCCGGATTTTCATGCATTTGGATTATCAGATCAGCCGGTGGGGTGTGGTTTCTACCGATTGCCATGAGCTGGCAAGCGAGCCAGCAGGGTGCATTCGGCATCGGCTCTTCTCCAACCGGCCGAGATCGCCACTTATTAAAGCACGCTACGGGAATCCCTACTAGGTACTCGGACTTCGAATCTTGGATGCTTGCCTTGCGCTGTCGACCATATGCCATCGCCGCATCGATCGGACGTTTGTCTGATGTCTAAGGCTCCACAAAGCAAGGCTCCACAAAGCAAGGCTCCACAGAGCCTTGCTTTGCGGAGCAAGGCTCCACATCCACAGAGCCTTGCTTTAAGGCTCCACAGAGCCTTGCTTTGTGGAGCTTGCCGCCTACACCGGAAATTGATTTGAGAGTGATCCGGGTTAAGCTTAACCGTTATGGATGTAGTAGACTGTAGCTGCTGACTGTAGACAGTAGCGCAGTGTAGCCTGTAGGCTGTAGCCTTGGGCAATACGGTACGCAGTCGAATTCCGGGCCCCGTCGTAGGTATCAGTCTCCTAAAGTGTCGACATCAATTTGTAGCTCGTGGAACGTCCGATGGCTCCTCCGGTGCCTCGGCAACCGTCAGATCCAAGTCCCTCCCTCAGGATTTCACGCCTTGTTTCCCGATCTGGCAGCTAGGATTTCACGCCTTGTTTCCCGATCTGGCAGCTAAGATTTCACGCCTTGTTTCCCGATCTGCAGCTGTGATACAAGCTCGCTCTTTCTGCAGGGCCAAGTGCAATGGGCACGAGTTGCAGGATACAAGTAAGCGGAATTCCGCTGAATCAGGGCCAGATAAAAGCAGCATTGCAGCTCACTTCTTGACATTCTCCAGATTTCATTT